CATGCCAAATAGAAAAAGTTGCTACACTTACCACAACATGTTCATCCCACCATTCTTGAGGGAAAACAACGGTTCTCTTTGCATCATCCCATCCAAGCCCGGTTGCTTCATTTTTCAACTCCATGAAAAACACATAGTCATTTTTTATTGCATCCCATTTATTCTTGAATTTATCCTTGGGATACTTCTTTCCCATTCTTGCTTCCCATTTCTCGATAACATTGTCCTAGCCCTTCTTAGTAAAATAACCTTAGGGCCTATTCCCATTTTCAACCTCTTCTCTGAATATTTCTATGACTTTCTTCAGACGTGCATCATCCCACACCGCTTTTTCAGTCATTCTTCAATCAAGTAAAATAATTTTAATACCCTGCCACATGTATAATAGTTGTACAATATGTAAACATCTTCCAATTTATCCATAGCAGAACATAGCAAGCAATCAATGTCAACTAAATTCACGTTAGAAAGGTACTACATAGGCTCCATTCACAACAGAAGCACAAGCAACCTGTACTAGCAAGCAATCTGTACTATCAGTCAATCTGTACACAATTTATCCCAAATACACCACCTACTAGCAAGTAATCTGTACTCAGGGATTGAAGAGGAGGAAGGCGGGAGTAAGGACGGAGGCTACCTCGCCGTGGAGGGCTGCGCAGCTCCGGTCGACGGCGCCGGACGGCCGGCGAGGAAGGGCCACTGGACGGGCGGCGTACTGCTCAGAGGCGGATGGATACGCAGGGGGCGTAGCTCGGGTGGCGGTGGAGAGCCTGCAGCACTGAAGGCGGCGCTGGCGGCGGCGGTGGAGGGCCGGTAGCGCTGGCGGCGGCAGCTAGAAACCCTAGCCCGTCGCTCGGGACGAGGGGATTTTTCCCTCGAGGAGTTTTTGCTGTCGATGGTACGAGGAGATTTTTCTTATCGGCAGCGAATCGTTTTCACTAGGGAGTGGCAAAGGTGGGTAAATAACCCTCAACTCTCAGGAAGTTAGCAAAACGGTCTGCTGAGAAGCTAGACAAGTTGGGGTATGTGGGCTGCGGGATTTGCACTAGAAGAAGTTGCAACTTCTTACGAATCTGCTTTCCTGGGAACACCCTTTGATACAGATTATAACTTTTGGGCCTAGAAGTTGGAAGTTGAAGTCCAACCAAACACAGCCTAAAGGAGGTCCACTTGTTCTGTTGTTCGTCAGACTATGAGTACAGTGGTCATGCGGTCGTAACAGAAAGAAGGTGCACACATTGCAAGACGATCTATTATGAATTATGATCAAATTGAGTTGAGAGTGGATAATCCAGATTCCTCGACCATTACAGTAAAATAAAAAATTCGCTAGGGGACACCATGGAGAAAGTTAGGGAGGTCCCGTGTCACCCTTGGGCACTGTTCTTTTATGTGGCAAGAAACTCGACTGAACTGAAAAACCTTTTTCAGTTGTCAGTGAAATAGCCAACGTGAGAAATTTAAGCCATGCAATGTTATGTAGACCGTTAGCCTACGTTGTAGCATACGAGATATGAGATAGAGCAGCTTATGAACGGCTATGCTCCTAGCAGTGCGGGAGGCAACCAAAAAATCGACGAAGCATTGAACAAAGTCCACGTAATTTGGTATGAACAGACGTGACCGTGTACTGTTTCCCCGCGTCTATGTCTCGCTTGACGCGAGACAGTAGGACGTATCGCTTCAGGCAGCCGCCCCATTGGGCCGGGCCAGCGCGGACACAGGTTTTCAATATTTTTTCTTTCACTTTTTCTTCCCATTTTTGCATTCTTTTTTGTTTTATTTTTTACTTTTCCTTGGAGTTAGAAATATTCTGAAAATATCCACTATAAAAAGCAATTTATGCATAAAAGTTAAAAGTGTTAATCATGTATTTAAAAAAATATTAAATGTGTACGAAAGATGTACAATGTGTATGAAAAAAGCAAAAAAAAGATTTAACTTTAAAAAAAATATTAATTGTGCATTTTAAAAAAGTTAAATATTTATAGATATTTTTTCTGATGTATACAAAAAATATACAATGTGTATGAATAAAGTAGACATAAAAAATAAATGTTTTCAGAAATGTTAATCATGTATTTCGACAATGTTAAATGTGTATATAAAAGAATGTTAATCGTATATTTGAAAAATATTATATATATATATATATATATTATATATAGGACAAATTTTATCTACCACCAGTGGTAGTTACCACCACTTGCGTTTGATATGTTGTATGTAGTATCTGTAAAAACCGAGAGTATGTACATGTAGTATGTAGTATATAACGATGTTTAGGTAGTATATATACTACTTTTTTGGTAGTATGTACCATATTTTAAGCATGCTCTTTTTTACGTACAAATATGTACGTATTTCATGAATATAACAAAAACTATGGGCTCATATGCAACTTTTTCATGTAACTTGCGTTCAAATATCTTAGATATAGTATATGAACATATTTAGAGTGATAAAGTAGTATATATAGTACCACATGATAGTATATGAGACATGTGGG